TGAGTTGATCGCCACCCTGGTTTCATACCTCTGTGGCAGAAACAATCGACTAAGGTAGGTGCTAATGATATCTCTGTCCAGGCTATGGAAGATACTTTTGGCCTACCGCCATTGACAACAAATCCCAACGGGGTCTTGCTCCCAGCTACAGCCAGCACCGCTCAAAACACCACAATCAAATACACACGATCCCCATCTACTGCCCTGCGGTTCTGTCCCGAAACTTCGGCAAGGAAAGAATTTACCCATGGTGAAATAACGGGAATCTATTAGTGTTAACGAATTCTTTGGCAGCCAGGCCCACGATACACCAGGTGCCCATCTGTCAGATTCTGGCGGTGCGGGTTGATACACCGCACTGTGCAACTGAAGCTTGGGCGACAGCATTACAAAAGTCCCTTAGTCTGGGAGGATTCAAGTCCTGAAGAATAAACTTAGCGATAATCTTTTGAACATACAGTAGAATTGTCTCCGTGATACTGTAGTGCTATCGTATTTCTGACAGTATCCTTGCCGGGATGAGGGTTGTGGCTAGTCAGTGGTTGTCCCAGTTCATGCATTGTGGCCTGTTCAATGTAATGGTAGCCTACAACCGCGCCACCACCCCTGTTAGTTCAGTCATTGGAAGCAGTCTTGAATGAACCTACAGAGTACTAACAATGATCCAGCTGCTCAGAACTTTTTAATAATCTGCCTCGCTCTTGTGTTGGTTAGCAAATCACTTACCAAGACAGATTTTGATTTTTTTGATGACCAGAAAACCCGCCGCGAACAAAAGACTCGGCATCTAGTTCATAGCCAAGGATCATATGCACTTACGAAGCTGCAAACCTCATATTGGGGCCCTAATCATTACGCCCGGCAGGCTTTTGTAGCCTGCGCACGAACAAAAGTCGACATTCTATCAGTCGAGAGCTTACGGTTACAATAACCATGATAAACCTTCGAGTGCGGCTTGCGTTCTTTCTGAGCGTTTGCTGTTTATCTTCTGCCTCGTGCAGGTGTATGGAGACAAAGGAATCACAGTCAACTTATCCGTATTGTTTCTATGAAATGAGTAAACACTGCACAGGTCGGCTCGATTTTGGCTGCTTGTGCCTCACGGATATCGGTATGAGCAGATTTGCCCAATGCGTTGGAAAGATGAACTTGGAGGTGTCCAAGGCGTGGGAGCAACTGACATACGATTGCAAAATGATCACGGGAAGTCCAGTACTTTGGCAGGAGGAAGTGTTTGAACATGAAGCTGCCCGCGAATAGCCTACCGCTTTGAATGGGGGATATAGATGGGGCTGCAGAAAGTCTGGTGAGGAAACGAACCAGATAGTGAAGGCTGTCACAACGATCAAGAATGTTATGAATCAATTTGACTGCAGACTTGGCACAAAGCGCGATTGTTTGCGTTGCGATGCTTAAATTTCTTCTCATTCAATTCTTTCTGACAGGTGACTCACCACTTGCAAGTGATGTCTAAACATGACTTGGGCCATACCTCATATCAGGGCAACAGTTTGGTTAGCTGATGTAACGGGCTGAGCCCGGTGTGGCTCGGTTTGCACTCTCGCCTTCGGTCCCGGCCTGCTGGCCGGGACCCATAGACAATCGAGATTAGCGACGCGTCGAGCTCAGGAGCTCTCCTTTTCTTGTTCTCTTTTCTCTCTCTTCTTTAGCATTAAGATACTCTCAGTAGTCGCCTAGCTAGTTGTCAATATACTCAGCTGAAGAAGGCCCTGGAAGTCCATCAAGAAAACATGTCCTAAATTGTAGTTGGAATTGGCCGGTAAAACCCGCTGAACATGAAACAGCATCACGTGCAGGGTCCAGCCTGCGCCTTCCATAAATAGCATGCCCTGGCGGCATCTCTAGCTTACAGAATCAACGCACTCTTTTCATCTCTGTTCCGCTGTGACGTTCAACAAAACCCAGAGCAGCTACAACCTCTTGGCGGTTCATGAATTGTGTCCAGTAGCTTTTATCGTGGGAACTCCATGGGCTTCTTGGTTCAACGGTTGTCAGAGTGAACTGGTCATACTTCCCTCGGTAGGCTGGCAGGGTGGCGATCAACTCAATCCACTCACGCCTCTGGTTGACGAAAGATCACTACTCGTGCCAGGCCCCACTTTATTGGCACGAGTAGTCTTGCCCGAATAAAAAGTACATGCCACATGAGAAATCGTAGTAAGATAGGAGATCAAGTGACAAAGAGCCGGAAATGAATAGTGATGATGTATGGCTTGCATGAGCTGCAGACAACACTTTAGAGAACTGGACATGGAACATAGGTTGACAGTCGCCCCATGAGAGACTTTCACCCGGCGGAATAAACTGTGTGTTTGAGAGCAGAATGTTTTTGATTCAAAGCGATCCATGCACAGACTGGATCAGCGCCATATCTCTGAAACCTCCATGTTTCGTGGCCAATTTGAACAATATCTCAGTACCTTTCAATACTCTGAACTTAACGCTACCCCCCAGCAACCCCCCGGACTCCGGACCCCAGACTTCCACTCCCCCTTCCGAAAAAAAGAAAGCTACGTGAAGCTTGTCGATATATCCGTCGTCAAGGCTGCTCCATACAGCTTAGGCCAACAGCCCCAGAGCTGTGAAGCCAAATATCAGTGTCTGCAAAAATTTCGAGTTCCGGTTGGGCCTCAACGGCGTCGTAGGCTTGGTACCAAGCCACAGAGGGTTTGCCGGCATTACTAGATTCAATGACGCCATAATGGTGTGAATCACAGCGAGCAGTATCTGTGCGGTATGTGATTGTGTAGTTATGGTTTGCCCGGTCCTAACATGGAACATTAGCTGATAGCCCTTGCGTCTAATCCACCAACCGTGTTGCAGTGTCGTGCTATATGGCAGCTACTTTCAAGTACGTGTGCTTTCATCACAGACTCCTATCTCTTGGACTTGTCCAGCCTTTAAGGACCCTCCTCGTATTAGTATCTTCTACCAGCAACATCAGCGGGGAAGTCACTACTATAAAGAGCATGACCGCACCTCCTGTGAGAAAACGGTCCTGCTTTAGGACCTAGATAGCTTGAGTCAGAGCTTCCCTTAAAAACCTCTTACTCTCTTTGTGAACAATCACTTCATCCAAGTCGCACTTGATCTTGCTCTTACCCTTGTACCGTCACACCTCCTCGTTCTGGATAGCCCGCCAATAGAGCTCATGTTTAGAAATCTTGTCAGGCATCACCCAGTCAAACGTTCATGCCATACACAGTGGCCCGTGTGCTCTTTACTCCAAGGCATAACCGGGTTCCCGTAACAGCAAAAGATTCCCAGAAATGAAGAAATCGTCTGCAGTGAAAAGAAGGAAGTATACGCTATTCCCGAAAATCAAGAAAGCTCCCATGCTACGTGGAAGCGAAACATTGCATCCAGCAAAACCCTTCTCAATTGAAAGCAACCAAAACGCCATCAAGGATGAGAATGCAGACAGATATTCCGATTCTGCACACAGAATCATTGGGAATGGTCTTGTCCACCGCGGTAAAATCTGTTTTCCAAAGTCTGACCGATTAGCCACCATCCAAGAGGTTGATATGGACTCCTGTACGTATCAGCCCGGAGCACCGCATAAAATCTGCACAGACTAATATGGAAGCAGCAACAATCCCATGTATGCAACTTATCTCAACAGAGCCTTGCTCCCAGCAACAGCCAGTGTCGCTCACAACACCACAACAAAATACATATAAGTGCCTTCGCCTGTCGGACCGTTCTGGCTCGAAACTACAACCTGGAAGCAAGCCACCCATGGCAAATCCATGTGAATCTGTCGGTGTCAATGAATTCCCCGGCAGGGTTGCCCAGCACAGACACGGCGCTCTGTTGTCTAACACCCTCGTGCCTGAACTACTTGTGTATGCCTATTCCCCTACCTCTCTCGAGTCGGGTAGTCATCAAAGCCACATCATGCTGTATGAAAAGAACCGTACAGCAGACGCAGGTTCAGTAACCGCGCCGGGTTTGTCACAGAGCATGGACATGGGCAGGCCAAGAAAGAAACAACATGCCAGCAGAAACGAGTCATCGATGGAATGTAAGGGGGCTGAGCTAGTCCAGAACTCAAAGGAAAAGTCTTTCAAGAGCCTGCCTAAAGGCTTAAGGCCGAGGGAGGCTGGAAGGAAGCTGGGTATACATGAGTTAAGGGCTGTTTACAGCCAGGCAGTAGAAGAGGCCAAGTGTTTCGAAGTCCTTCGACCGAGAGATGTGGAAGACCTATCAAAGGCATGATTGTTATAGCCCAATATTGTGGATTACTGGCACTAATTTTCTGCAGGAACTTCGCTATCTCGACGAACGGGCCGAATATTTGCGACACACTTATAAATCTCTACGAAGCGGGAGATGTGGTCTCCAACAATCCCGCAAATGCGACTATTTTCAGCCTCGTCACATAGTTCGATCTAGCCATGAGTCAATGTTAAGACGAGAAGAGGCTTTGGCGAAGCTAGACGCATCTATAGATGACTGGTTCACACGGCTCGAGCAGGCAGAAAATCGACGCACGCGTATCCGTCAGAAGTTGTTGGAGCATATTGCAGCAGCTACGATGCTATTTGTTGCAGAGCACCACCCTTCTTGCGCTAATGAGTCGTTGCAGCATCACAAGGATATGCAGTTGTCTCCACGGCATATCACTGCGCCTTATCTGAGTGGTCCTGATGGCACACCTCCCTCCGGTCGACGAGCTGGCAGTACGCTGTCGCGAAGGCATGTAACATTGGCCCACCATGGTGACGGGGAACGACTCGCTGCTAAGCGTATTGCCGATAATCACACAGATGTCCAGGCTGTCAACTACGCCGCCGCAAGGCGCTACAATAAGGAAAGCGGGTGGATTCCTCAGGCAAGTGACGTCGAGGTTCTTATAGATAATTTGGAGAAAGAAGTGTCCAAAATGGGCAACGGCATCCATATATGGACTCGCAACTCTCGGTTAGAACGTGAGAGGCTTAAGAGCTACGAGAAGCTCTGTGGCGGAAGTAGACATGACAGAATTTCTGTCACGTTGTGAGACTCATTGTGTAACGGGCTGAGCTGTTGATGTGCACACGGCTGATGCCGATGCTAATAACATCACCAAATGAAGGTCTAATAACATGCCCTTGAGTATTGACTATGTAATTAAGTAGCCGGCTCCTCGAGAGCGTCTAGCTTCTCGTCTCTGCAATGCAAATCAATTTGTTTGTTTCAAAGCACGCTTCTGGCTGGATAAGCCCCTGTCACGTTTCTCGTTGGGTGTGGGTGTGTATTGTGTGTTTTTCTGTTCTCTCATCCAATCCGTTTCATGTGCATCCTGTTGAACGTCACAGCGGAACACAGATGAAAGGAGTGCGTTGATTCTGTAAGCTAGAGATGCCGCCAAGGCACGCTATTTATGGAAGGCGCAGGCTGGACCCTGCACGTGATGCTGTTTCATGTTCAACATTTCTCACAAATAGCATGCTCAGCGAGAGAGGTATCTCTAACGGCTCTATTGGCGTTATCACTAATTTGTTGCCCGACGACGAAGTTGAGGCTGCATTTCCCACTAAAGATGGTATCCAAGTAAGTTCTTCTTCCTCGGCCCTACCGTTGAAGCTTAGAGACCCGCAAAGCAGCTAATGCAGTTCAGGTCATGCACTTGCATAAAACTTCGTCGTATTTTCAGACGAATGGGGTGGAGTATAAGCGTGTGCAGCTTCCAATAATCAACGCATTTGCGTTGACAATTCACAAGGTTCAAGGCCTATCACTGCCAGCTGTTACCGTCGCCTTAAATTCTAACATCTTCGCTGACGGACAAGCATATGTGGCGTTGAGTAGGGGCAAGGATCTCGAACAAGTGTACTTGACTCATTGTGATCTTGATGCCATTAAGGCAGACCCAGAAGCAATAGCTGAGTACGAAAGACTGAAAGCTAAGGCAGAACAACTCCATAGACCACATTCTCAATGACCTTCGGTCCTCTCAACCATGAAACTTGAACTGTCAACTCAGCAACTCCCCACTCTTCCTTTCCTGTTCCAACTTGTCCTTTCCTTCTAGTTGTATTGCTGGAGAATTATCTGAGGAATAAAAAAAATTGACACAAGTTATTCATTATGCAGGTGCCTACCAAGCCACTGCCAAGAATCGGCGTGTGGCGCAAATAGGTGTCGAAATCGGTGTCCCGATCATCACTCCCCAACGAAGCTAATCTACCTTAGTTGCTCCTCGGCATGCATCCATTCCGCACTTTGTGCTTCCACGTCTTCATAGTTAGAACTTAGCTGGCAGAAAGATCCGCAATGTGGTAATGCTCCATATTCAGATCCATATTTTCGTCGATAATCTCAATGGTTACCTCTTCATCCTCGCTTCTCTTGTTGCCTGCGCCAAAAGGCGTCTTGACAAGCACAGTAGCCGTCATGAGCGACGAGTCGGGGTTGCGTACGGGAAAGTCCCAGCTCCATTCCTCGTGTTGCAGATATTCAACGGCATCCTGCGCCTGCGGGTCGTATTGGAACGCAGCATTCTCATAGAGCCACTTTGACATGGGGACTGCCCTGCCCTGCTCGGGCAGAGACGAAACCTTCATCTTGTAATATTTGGGTCCCTCATCATTCGACGCCCATGATCCAATCTTCCTATCAATGAGCTCCATGGCGATTTTCCCCACAAAGTGCGGGTACGGACTACAGATGACGCTCCACAAGTGGCCAATGCGGTTTAACCTTATGAGCGTGAGCTCAAAGTCTGACAGTCTACCGAGGACTCCGTCGTCCAATTTCTGGATGGATTCCTCAGCATCGTATAGGTGACAATATTTGTCCATGTCGGGGAAGATGGTACTAGGCACCTGCCAGGGCAGAGTCCCGATCACGTCTCGGTATCCTTTGCTGTGGTCCCAGAGGCATGCAAAGTCAACCATGGGAATCTGTCAAACAGTTACGGGCACACATCACGTGAACGGAGAATGAAGTGGTAGCAGTTGGACTAGAGATGGGAAGCGTTGTGGCAAAGGTGCCTTCGGTGAATTGAATGAGAATTATCTGAACAAATGAAAGAAAAGAATGAACGCAGCTATTTATCTTGTGAGCAGCTTCGCCGAAGCGGCGAAGCTGTAACAGGTAACCCATGTCTGATACAAACTTAAGACCAGGAGTCTTTGATGATACAATGCCGCGTCGCGGCATTGTAAAAAGCAACGACTTGCCCCATCTTGAAGTCGTGATAGCTGACATAATGGGATATTCTACTTTCAGGCACCCAGTTGCCCCCTGACCTAAGACTTAAAAGCCATGACGACCCCACCTTCATTTCTGCCTTTGAGTTCTTTGACGCTGCACTGCGATTTACCAGACTATTCAAGGTCTGCAACGTATCCCAGGATATACGACACGGACGCATTGATAAATGATGATATTGGTACTGCGCTGGCAAATATATTTGGCGGGAAAAGCGTTACCATCAAGAGAAAGAAGATCCGAAGTATGATCGACAAGAACATTTCCGCTCTCACAGGGGGCAATAACAGGCGGCTCTTCAGAAGAGAAAGAAGCCGCAGTTACAGGAGTTTGTTGGCCGATTCCAATAGAGGATCAGAATGCAAATCGATGTCAGCAGTGCCGGAGTTCATCACCAAGCAAAGGCGCAACCAAAGCTGACCTTCAACTTCATGAGTTGCATTGACGAGTGGACTCAGAATTGCACTAATTAGAAGCGGCAGTGGACAAGGACTTAAAGCAAGTCGACGCATCGAGCTTTTTGATCAAGATGCCATTTTAGGCACAATACGAACTCATGATGCAGCTGCAGACGGCCATGGAACACCTATGCTTCTTCTTTGCGCAAAAGTATCTCTCTGATGTCCTCAGGACCGCGGGTTGGATTGCCCTGCTGCCATGAACCTGGGTCGGTGGCTGGAGGCGACTGAGTCCTCCAAGTTCTTTGATGCCCCATTCGAATCAGACCGCCAGTCCACGACCGTGATTGGTGAAATACTGCAGTCGACAGCACATATAAGAGCACGTATACGCGAGGTTACGATAGACCGCGTTGGCATATCAACAAAAAGGCTACGGAGATGCCTTGGGAGTTCCATAGCTTTAGCAGGACTGCTTGGGCAGGATCAGCAAAGTCAACAACAACAGGAACTCGGATTACTCGCAGCAAAAATTGGTTCTGGCATTCGGGACCTCGAGGAGTGGAATTTTGAACAGCAGTTGTTTCTAGACGCTGAAAGGTCCAATATAGCGAAGCAGCGAGCAAAGCTTGATGAATTGGAAGCAGCCAGTATCAAAGAGAC